AACAGATTTGTTACGTGACAGCATTATTTAAAGTTTCTTAAGGTCAAGATCATGTTATCTGCATCTCCTGCGCTCCATCAAGCCACTCCCATAATAGCTGTCATCACTCAAATGAATGCACGACTCTACATTATCTGAATAGCATATGTGTAAGACTCGAATACAATTATGAAGTAATAATTTTATGACGAATAAATCTCTGAGTGAGTAAAACTGGCTGTGTCTATAGTATTAAAGACTATACAACATTATTATAGTATCTTTAAATTAATTTTTAAATGATTATTATTTTTTAATTATAGTCCCTGGATTAGTAGGGTACTCTTGTAATAAAGTAGCGGTGGTAGCGGACAGATTTTAAGTATCAATTCTGCTTAAAAAGATGCGATCTAATTCTGTTTACATGAAATAAGCCTGTTCCCGAGCAGGTTTAAGCTTACGGACCTGTTGCTATGACAGCAACTCCGGGATGAGCTTCGAAGAACCAAACTATCCAAGATCAGGCGAAATCATCAACAATCAAATCCAGCTAACCGAGTTAGCGACGTACGAAGAACGGGCCCCAGCTCTGCTGATGTTCATGTTTATGTAACTTAGACGCTGAACACAACATTAGCGTCATGCGTACTTCAGTATGCAGTAGATAAAACGGCGCCACTCAGAGACATGCAGAAACAAGCAGATTATTTATACAGCAGTCTCTTTGCGCATTAATATTCACAGACACATATCATATCTACTTTTGATTTATCCATCCATCAGATTGCGCGTTTTACGTGACATCCTCGTTATACTGTAAACTCCATGTTCACGACTGCACCTCTGCTTCACGGAAATCATACGGCCTTAACTTATAACTTATTAATGCGACACACCTTCATCTGCACGGAGGGATGGTGTCCGCGAATATGAGCGAAGATGTTGGATGTATTGCCTGCTTTTGCAGCCACTTTGCGTCCACATTTTTTGCAAATTGGATCCGTCCACAAGGACAACCCCACGTTGTTGTTTTTTTTTAATATCCGAAGTATTCCTATACAGCAGATTTTAACTTTTTTTTTCAACGGGGATGGATATTACTAGATATTATCTCTGTCTCTGTCGCAGCCAAGCGGAAATAAGTTGCATGTTTGCGGGTGAGATTTTTTTTAAAACCGTAGATATGCAAATGTTTACGGTATGATAACCGTGCACGTTCAAACCGTGATAAACCGTCATACTGGTATATCGTTACAACCCTACTGTAAAGTATAACCAATTATATTTAAACTTTAAAAATTATATTTTAATAAATTCTATATTCATATTACTTGGAAGAATCCAAAGATTATTAGGGGAACGCAAAGGTTTTGCAAGATAATATACTGAAATATAATTCCTAATTTTATTTCCCACCTCATATTTTATACTTTTTCATGTTAAATTTGTGAATGACAGAAATCATATATTTCTCGCTGAAAGTGAACCTGTATTCAATGTTGTCTGGGTCGTATTTGTTCATGTTTTTTTTTAATGAACTCAAGTCGCACAACCTGTCCATGCTAACAATGGTCTTAATTAGATGAAATTCCATCAAATGACCGCTAAATTTGTAAAAAAAAAAAAAAAAGTAGCCTTTGATGTCAAGAACAAAATAGATGTAATTTGTCTTCTCCTGCCTTTTAAAAGTTAATAAACTGGCTTATTTTTGTCCAAATGTTGCATGACTGGATGCATTTACTTACTTGATTTAGCATTGTTTTGTTTTGTTTTTTTCTGCTGTCTTTAAAGGGGTCATATGGTGCAATTTCAAGTTTTCCTTTCTCTTTGGAGTGTTACAAGCTGTTCGTGCATAGATAAGATCCCTAAAATTGCAAAGACTAAAGTTAAAGTTTAAAAAAAAAGTTTAGTTTTAAAGTCCGCCCAAATGTTCACGCAAAGAAAAAAGGCGTAACTTTATTGACACAAAATAATGTTCTTTTTAGCAGCATCATATGACCCCTTTAAACTTTTCAGGTCATGATCCACCATTTGAGAACTATTTTTCAATTCAATTCAATTCAAGTTTATTTGTATAGCGCTTTTCACGATACAAATCGTTGCAAAGCAACTTTACAGAAAATTAAGTTTCTACAATATTTAGTAGTAGCTTATCAGTGGTTATCAACTACTGATATGTTTAGGTATAAATGAAAGAAGTCGAGATGATCTGGCATATGCACCTGCAGGTCGCTCTTCTTCTCCAGGGCTTTAGCGATGGTCTGCGCTGCCTCCACGCCGATGGTGTTCCCCTCCAGTCTGAGCGCATGCAGCCCGTCAAACTCCTCGATCGCCTTCACCATCTCCTCCACTGCACACGACACAACATCACCTCTGTTACTCTTTCATAAACATGCACAAGTGTGTGAAACCAGGAGATCACCGGCAGCTCACCAGACTGAGCGTTGTCCAGTTTAAGGCCTTGTCCTTTATAACTGAGCTCGCCCTCGTCGACTTGAGTTTTGGCCAATGAGTCGGCGAGATCTGCCACATCATCTGATGCCATCTTGACACCAACTGAAGAAAACACATGAACACACAAGAGTTTAACATGATTTTAACTCTGCTGCTAAAGAGACAAAGGAAGTTAATGTGAATTATAAAGATAACATTTGACACACATCAAACCCACTACATTTTTACTAACATTGTCACTTTTCATGTTACATTTACTATTATTAACAATGTAAATTTGTAATTAAAAATATTTTATTAATATTAATTAAACTTCACTGATAAATTAATCCCATGTAAACATACTTTACATGTTAAAACGTTAAATATTCTTATTAATAGTGTAACCGTTGTTCACCTCTAAAGTGATGTGTTTATGTTTACATAAATGTAACGTTACGCGTCTCTATATAAACGTGTTTTCATATTCATACACAATGACACATGATCAGCACGCAAACCACGTTTTAAGTGACGCAGCCTATTTACTAGACACTAGACACTCGTTTCCGGAATAAACTTCGCGAATAAATATTCAGTTTGTACTTACAGGTGGTGTTTGATGTGATTTTCTGGGTGCAGATGTATTTCTGTTGCACCCAGTTGCTTCCTCCCGCTCGTTCTGATGATGCGGTGGTGTAGACGCGCGAAGGTTCATGGGATTTGTAGTTCGTACATTTTATTTAGCGTGTATTATAATTTTTTTTTTTTTACTTCTACTGTTAGTGTTAATTAAAATTACCACATTACGACACTACTTATTTATTATTTTTTTATTTGTTTAGCATCATATGTTGGCAAAAACTAAATTCTTGTAGAGATAATGCGATGCTTGGAGGGAATTCAAGGCCACTGTAATCTGACTGAAATACTTTTCCCAAAACACAAGGACACATTTATTTAAAGGTGGGGTAAGCAATTTTTCAAAAACGCTTTAGAAAACGGATTCGGGCCAAATAGCAAAACAAACTTGTAGCCAATCAGCAGTAAGGGGCGTGTCTACTCATGATGTGAAGGAGAGAGCTTTCAGTGCACAAGGACGGACATTACCGAGTCGAGCGACAGAAAGATAGAGATGGCGGATTAAAAACAAAAGAGGAAAACATCTGCGGAACAAAAGAAGGCTTAAGGCAATAAGGCAAGAAGTAGGACCCGTTACCAGCACGGATCAGCTCCAGGCATGACGAAGCAGATATTGTCCTCTTTTGGAAGTCCAAACAAAGTAGTTTCGCTTTCACAAGGAAACACACAGCGCCTTCACGACATGGCAGCGGCGGCAACAACTACAATACTACAGCGAGAATAAAAGTTATGCCTTCTTTCTTTGCGTGAACATTTGGGCGTTGTTATGCAAATCTTCCCACATAGTGACGTAGATATGTGGGGGCGTGTTAGAACGAGACGTTTTAGGTAGGCGTGGCTGACTCTTAACTTTTATAAAGAATATCTCTTTGGATTTGAGACTTTAGTCTTTGCAACTTTACAGATCTTCTTTATGCACCAAGAGCTTGTAACACTCCAAAGAGAAAGGAAAAATTTTAATCGCATCCTTTAACATTGGTTTTGCTTTGTTTCACAGAACTAATCGTTGCCTGGGTTGCGTACGTATGTGTGGGGCGGAGCTATCAAAATAGGGGCGAGAGCCTTTTGGGGTAGGGGCGTGTTTGTTTTGGTGATTTCAAATGTCAACATTGGCTACCAGAAAATCGCTTACCCCACCTTTAACAAACTAACCAGTGTTGCCAGGTCCCGTCCACAGTTTTCCTGTGGAATTGGGCTACTTTAACACTGTTGCCACCAGTTGTTTTTCATGTCTGCGGGTGGAAGCGACCCCAATAACATCATATTTATCCCCTGGAATGCTAATTTTACCAGGGGAACCCCACCAAAAAACAAACAAACAAAAAAAATGTGTATTTTACCCCAGGAACGCTATGGGCTAGTTTTGAGTAGCAGGTTATGTCGTGAAAACCTGGCAACCCTGAAACTAACTGAGGTTTAAGCATATTTTACGAAAGAACAGGTCAATGCATGTTTTTGATAGAGTATATTCACTGATGTCTTTTCTTTAAAACGTTTAAAGCCTTGTCTGATAAAGTTTAACAGCTATTCCCCACATTTGTTTCAGCGGAGCGTCATTGTCACGTGATACGTGTTACTTTACTCAGCGCTGGTCAGGATGGACCAATCACAGTTGTTCGTTGATTCCTGGACATGGATTACTTGGACACAATTTTATAATGTTTAATATATACGTATTTTAATTTGTATTCCGGTTATCAATTCTACAAATGAACATGCTCAAAATAATATGTTTTCTACACTATATACGTTCCCAATTATGCGAAAAAACGTCCAGAGATTTGAACGCATTTGAATGAGGGATTCGGCTCTTCCGGCCACCGAGCGCCTCCTGGCGGAATAACAGTGCGCGGCTACTAGCTGGAAACACTAGTCGGGTTCGCAGTGAGGCAGCGGTGAAACGTTCACACGCATACATTTGGAAAATGTCTTGAGATCGATCAGCTAATAATCTGTCAGCCATTCCGCCAGTGTTCTGCACACAATCCGCCAACCAAACACGCGCGGAACTCAGAAGAAAGCGCTTTTTTGTCGTGGTTTTCTCCAGACAGGTGAGTATAGAGTCTGACTGGTGTCATCTGGAAAGTTTGCGAGTTCACAGCTGTGATTCTAATGACGCCTTTAATCTGGGGGTATATTTGCTCTTTTGTGGCCGACTTTATTTATTATTGGGTTGTCATTCTGGATGTTTTTTTCCCCAGCTGCTTCAGTTTCGTTTTTGTAGAAACTGTCTGTGGGAGGAAGTGAAGTCGAGTGAGTTTGGGCGTGTTTCAAATCTCTAGTTATTTCCCTTCTGTTACTGTAGCGCTTTCGAGTGTCATCCCAGCTAAGGGAACGTTCTCAGAACTTCTGACCAGGTTCTCTCAAAGTTACAAACATTCTTTCAGTAACGTTAATGGAACGTCCATTCCAAATTATCCGGTCTTTAGTAACGTTCTCAAAACTCCAAAGTCATTCATGGAATATATTTCTGAACGTTCATCTAACTTTTTTTTTTTTTGAGCGTTGATACAAGTTTCAGGTGGTTCAGAGAACACTCAAAAGTAACTTTCCCACAATGTTTGCAAAATGATAACATGGAACGTTTCTGTAATGTTTTCTCAAACGTTCTCTAAAAAACTGGACGTTTCTATCGTTCAGAAATACCATTTTCATAACTTAACAGGAATGTTAGCTAAACGTTCTTAGAATGCTATAATAATAATAATGCTGTCTAGCCAGCTAGGTTCTGACTCATTACATCAAACACAAAAGAAAACCTATAAATACACTGTTGAAAATGCAAAAATATGCTGTACACTGTGATGTTTTCATAGTGTAATAATTACAACTTTGGTGCTTTAATATTTAGTGTATATGCTGGTGTGCATAATCAAAATGTTTGGTTTATAATACACACTTTTACATAGAAAGCATTGGTGTATTTTGAGACCGTGCTTGTTTGTTTTTCAGGTTTGTGATGGTCAAACATGAGCGGTGAGCATCAGAAGCGCCGGGAGGACATTCAGAGAGCGCTGAACTTCATCAAGTACTAAAAAAAAAGATTTTTCTTTTGCTTTGAGTATCATTCATTCCTGCTGACTGTCTTATATCAGTCGTAGTGTTGATTTCTGTTTTGTTGTTCGTGTCTGCAGGTGTTCTCTGCCTTATCCGGACCCTGAAGGCTATGAGGTTGGGCTTGAGGAAATATTTTGCACTCAAACGCTTATCTAAATGGACACACATTCACATTTGCTCTCCGAAGTATAGCTGAGTAACGTCGTTCATACATTTAGCATGATTGGACCAGTTTATAAAAACTCAAATGTTAAAAACGTTCTCCTGTAACTATTTTCTCTTTGTTTCGTTTCTTCTGTCCTGTTGTTGTTCATCAGGGGTTTGTGGTTCAGCTGGTGTGTGATCTCTTAGACGAGGGCAATGCCGCGTTTCGAGAGGGCGACTGGACGCAGGCGCGCGGTCATTTCAGCGAGGCCGTCAATGTGGCGCTTTATGCTCAAACCGAGGGGCTGAACGTTCCCGCCGCCCTGCTGGAGAGTCTGTACATCAACCGCGCAGCCGTCCATCAGAACATGGTGAATTTCACACCAAGATCTACGTATTTTTGTAGGCCAAACCAGAAGTTACCATCACTCAGATTCTTTTGACAAAAACCCAATGGGATATTTTCTATTGGCTTTGGGATTATTGCAGAAAATAGACTCTGAGACCGACAAAAGTTTATGATTCTTACACGTTTTGCTCTTTACGATAATCGGAACACAACTTTTTGGAATTTCAAAGCCTAAATAAAATGGCCAGAAAATGAAAGCTAAACATATAAACTATAAACAAACTTGGCTACGTTCACACTTGCGAGCCTTAGTGCTCAATTCCGATTTTTTTCTCAGAACTGATTTTTTTTTGTTTAGCTGTTCACATTGTTGTTTTAAATGTGGCCAATATCAGATTTACAGTGTGAACAGATCATGGTCCTGAACTGACCCGCATGCGCAAAAGAACGATACGAACAGGTTTTCACAACAAAATCCGCCCAATTCTTTCTCAAAACTAACCCAATCATGTTCAGGGAGGTAAACATCGCGTTAGTGGGGTCGCATCAACCCACGAAGTTGAAAAACAACCCGTGGCAACAGAGGAAAAAGTAGCCGAATTCCGCGGGGAAACTGGATTTGGCAACACTTGCGCAGCGCACCGTCATACGGAAGTAAACACGGAGGACATAAAGTAAGCGATTATGCATTTATTTATAGTAGTGCTGGGCGGTATGACCAAAAATTTATATCACGGTATTTTTCAAAATTATACCGGTTTCATGGTATTTTTTTTTTCATGCATGACCGGGTGTTAACCATATTTTCTACTGATTGAGAGAGGAAATACTGCAGTATATTGACTTAGAATGCCCTATTTTACTGTCATGATGAGTGAATATTGTCAAAAAATACCACACTAAATAGTGACTAAACACGACCCCTTTTAATACATGTTAACCAGGAGTCACTCTCATTTATAATCGCGGCATCGTCTGATAAAATCAACATGCATCTACACTAAAGAGCGGCTATGCGGTTGTTTTGGCTATATTACTTTTTTGTCTCATGCAGCAGCACTGCCTGAGTAACAAACTAAAAAAAACAACAATCAAAAAAGTGCATGTGATATTAACAGACGAACTACGCAAATATTTATAATTCCAAACAATCAGTAAGCGACAGGTGCTAGGAAACGCTGTTTTGTACTCATTTATTGAGGAGTCGGCTGCGGTGCTTCTCTGTCGCTCACTGCACAGAACAGACGCCGAGAGAGGTGACACTTCTCCGGGAAAGTCAGACCTCGCGTTCGCGGGACAGCACTGAATCTTCCAACTGAACCATAGCTAAGGTTTATCCAAAAAAGTCACTAGGTTTGTCAGTATGAATATTCTATGGAAAAAAGCCGCTAAAAGGGTCTGAAAGTTGCTAAATCTAGTGCTAAAGTCGCGATCATGTGTGTGTGAGACGCGGCAGCTGATGGCAGGGGGCGGTGGATATTTGTGGCGGTCAATGTGGATATTGTG